AACAATTCATCCGGTGTCGGTTGTCACCAGACTCACCTGGAATGAGAAAAGCACTGACTTGTACACGGCTGGTCATTAGAAGTCATTGTATAGGCCACATGCGCATTCCGATCGCCTCCACAATTCAGCATGAAAGTCATATAGAAGCATAGTCGGCGCTCTACAAAGACGGGATTGGCTGACGTCGAAGACTTTATCCTCTACATGTTCCCAACTTGTACTGAACTCAAAATCAGATTATTTTTACGGTACTACGATTCTAATTGAAAGTCTATGACTAGGGCACATCCCAGAAAGGAGAGTGATTAGCGCCAGAGACCTCACTTTTTGTTGGGTCCATTAGTGTCTAGGCATGGTTGTCATCTCGAGAAAACACCTATTTTGTACTTCTGCGAAATCCGATGCGTAATTAGAAGCACTCATAAGTTTATATTATCCTTTTTCTTGACAAACCAGAAACATAGTACTTGTTAAAGACTTGCTCATTTCCACTTATTTTCTTTTTTAAGTGGTACGACGGGAGTACCGAAAGGTGTGATGATCTCTCATCAGAATTTTGGCACCATGATGAACATCTTCAGACAGTGAGTTTAAACAGTTGTCTTTTCTGCAATCAATACATACCTCGTTTGATAGTTCATCGTCCCAAATTTTTATTTTGGAAACACTGCTTACCGCAAAATACTTCTTGACCGGTCTAAAGGATGCTTGACTAATGAATCTCTTCTGAGGGTGACAGATCCGAATGCTTTCCAAATCTCGGGTACAGGTGTGGTAACCTCTCCCCGAAAATCGCGCGCGCTCGCCGCATCCAATCGCGCACAGTCGCGAACCTATAAAGTGGGTTGTTTGAATACCTAGTGGTGAGAGAGTACAGTAGCCACCGGCTGGGGAGAAGCACCACCACATTAGCTAAACCCAAACAGCTGGTTATTAGAGAGTGGAAAATGCACCGTCTCTTACCACAATATCCTTTTCGCAATGTACGTTAACATAGCTGCTACATAATAGAATTTCAAGGCACGACGATCTCCACATGACCGGTGCAGTGTCGTTCAATCCCATGAAAGAAAAGTCATTGATGTTGTTACCTTTTTATCACTGCTATGGCTTCGGTGAGTGTTGCAATTTGATCCAACAATTCTCCTTCGAACGCCTATTTTCAGCCCTTGTTATGTCTAATCTACTACGAGGCAATGCAGCTGTTGTGATGGAACACTTTCAACCTGAATTGTTCTGCGAGTCAATACAACGGCACCGGGTAAGGTTCACTCTACAGAGGACTATCTGCTCTGTTTCCAACCGATTTTCTCCTGCAGATATGGATGATATACACGAAACACAAAATGAGTAACGCATATCCACGCTTGAGCTTCCCGACGTTGAGGGTCATATTGGGAAGGGGATAGATGGGAGAGGAATCGAAACACAAACAGGTCAAAGAAACTACATCATGGGCAGGAGGTGGGGAAGGGGCAGGAATGAAAGAAAAGACTATGGCGACGCCCTTAATAACAGCATTGAACAATCACAGGCAGTCGAGACAGGGAAGGGGAGGGGCCCCAAGCGTCGACTCACCCGAAAATATATGGGTACCATTCTCGAGAGAGTTACGATCTTTCCTTACTGCTCTCTAGTCGAGAACTGTTGGTACCACCTGAATTCGGGAGAACAAATGAATGACTTGGTTTTCCATCAACAATACCTCTCTTACCTTCTGACCGTCTACTAGGGTATAATGTGGACATTTAGATACGATTTATCGCTGTCGCACCACCTGTACTTGTTTTCCTCACAAAAAGTCCAATCTGTAAGAAGTACGATCTCAGCTCTTTGGAATTTGTCATGTGTGGAGCTGCCCCCGTAGGCAGGGACTTGTGCGAGGAATTCCTACATATGTACAAACACGTAAAGTATATGCAGCAAGGTGGGTAAATTCTTTTGGAGCACTTCTCCTCTCCGTGTTTTGAACTATTAACGCACAGGATATGGTATGTCGGAAGCAACAATGGCTACTCATTTACCTGATGCCCATCTCGGACAACCATTTGGAAGCGTTGGAAAAATTGTGTCAAATTTGGAAATGAAGGTAATACCTTATATAGTAGTGAATAATGAAATAAGTCATGACGAGGGGGTGACCCACAAAAAGTAGAGTGTCATCAATAACGATTCGCAAGGGGGATGCACGCCAAAAGACATGAAGTGTGGTGATCACTCTTTCAAGGGCGTCGTGATTAACATAATCAGTCCTCAAATGGCAGCCACGCCCCCAAATGGAAGTGACGGCGCAGTTGCTATTATATTTTGTCGAGTCGTCTGTGACCACTTCTCAGCGACCCTGCCTGTTTTTTCTGAAAAAAGAAGCTAGCCCATAAGCCCATCTTCGTAGCAACTCATATGCCTAAGGTGAACAGCTGTGAAATCACAATTTTTTTNAATTTTTAAACATCTCTTTCATCTGTGGCGGATGGGTTGAGGCTCCAACCTTAGTTTTTAATACTCATTCCCCATCCAGCCTTATGTTACCCCAAATATCACCGCAAAAGGTTCACTTAGAGTGCCTCTAGCATTCAATTTGTGTCAAAAAAGTTAGTTCTTAATTTCTCTACTTCGATTTCCGTCTTTCAACCAAATATGCTTTCCGTAAGCTAATCAGTAAGGAAGAAAATTTCACTGACCCAAGCGAGTCTCGATTCACATGGCACAAAGTTGTTCCAAGCTGACCTCGGAAAATCGGTGATGGGAACGAGTTACTTCATTTAAAGACGCTGTAAATTAGCGGTTAATAACAGATCGTGGATCCAGAAACGGGCAATGAACGACCTACCGGCGAAATCGGTGAAATATGTGTTCGTGGTCCAACGGTGATGCTCGGATACTTCCAAAATAAAGAAGCAACAGAGAATTGTATCAAGGATGGATGGTTGCACACAGGTAAGCGGTCAGAGGCCTTTTTATGTGCTTTTTGAGAAATCGAACCAGTAAAACACGTATGCCTCATCGGCTTTCTGACGGGTTCAGTAAGTAATGAGGAAATAGGGCGAGATGGAGGTAGGAAGACAGGAATGACACCGGCTACCTTTGTCGCGACGGGGGTGCATCTAAGTATGAGCTTCATACCTGCGCTGATGATTTGGCTCTGCTATACGTCACTGCGGTCCTTCCGGAGCACCCCGAAGAGGTATGTGCGGTAGCTTTGTGGGTGAAGGTACTGCAGACAATGTTGTGGCAGGCGTCCTCCTTCTTCCTCTTGCGAATCTGCGAGCTCTACTACCTCGCTGCGTGTACGCGCGTATTACATTACTAAAGAATATACCACTACCAAAATAAAAAAGAGAACTACTATTCCAATGAGTATGCGATATGAATGCATTCTGCCCATTAATCTATTGTCAAAAGAATAAAACATGAAGGCTATTACATTTATCTTAATACTCAAATAAAAAAGAGTTAAGAATTTACGGGCTCTGCGTCACTAGGAGACTTCGGCACCCGCTCCTCTCGGGGAAGGAGACGACAACGGTGTCCGCGGACTACGCGCGCCTCCGCGGCCCCGAGTTCCCTCGCTAATTCTCAAAGCTCCTCGCTGCGTGCGTCCTACCAGAGCTGCAGATGACCTCATCTGCTCGGCGGCAGCTAGCAGCTCCTCCTCCTCCGTCGGTTCCTTTCGCACCTTGGAGCTTATCCTTTTTCCTTCCATACCTGGCACTACGGTAGCATTGGTGCCCTCGGGTTGTTGTCCGTCTTGCCGGCTGAGCTGGATGACGAGGGCGATTGCGGGGACGATGTTGCACAAGAAGACGTGCCGACCGAGCGACATGAATGACATGGAGTGAACGTCAAAGTTGTTGTGTGCACACTCCACGCCAGGGCGCCAGAACCACGTGGCATTCGATGCGAGCGGCGCGAAGCATGAATGATGGAAACGGTAGTGCGCGTCGAATAATGCGCGTGCAGTGTGATGACAGCTCTTGCGCAAAAGAAGTCGTGAGCTTCACGACAGCTTTCCTGGGTATGGGTACATTCGTGCGATTCGATTTGTGCGCGGCAATTTGAATGTCACTGGCACCTATAATTGGAGCTTAAACTTGACGTAGAGTGTATTAGCACGGTCAGCTGATACTACTAATCTACTCTATTCAAATATGGGCTCCAATAATAGGCGCTAAAGTCGTCAAAATCGCTTTGAGTTTCGCCGTGCAACTTGCCGCGTGCAGTTCGAATCGCACCACTTTCCATACCCCCAGCTTTCCTTCCAGCTCAAAGCGCCAGCCTAGACCGTTACCCTTGACTATTTACCTATTACTAGTAGTCATTCTTTAGATGACTATGTAGGCAGAACAGCAGAAAATTCCTATGAGGGATTGAATGGCTATACAGTGCGTTTCATAACTATAAGGTCACCCTGGTTTTTTGCGATTCTGGAGAAAGCAGCCGGAATGGAGTTTTTGGCAAACACAGGAAGATTCCTGATCCCAATGTACCTCCGTATTCAAATTTTGGTCGCAATATCCTTCACCTCAAATTTTTTATGTTTTTTATGAATTTTTTAAAG